TGGCCGGTCTATCGGAAGTGTGTTACCATCTGGCGAGGGGGATAATAACTTTTCAAATGACTTGCAAGCCTCATCATCAAACACAGAGCGGTTGACATTAGATTCTTTGGTGGTTCAGTATCTGAAGCACCAACATCGCCAATGCCCAGCTCCAATCACAACCCTACCTCCATTGTCCCTTTTGCAACCACATGTCTGTCCAGAACCCAGACACAGTTTTGACGCTCCAACTAATGTGACATCTAGGCTCACTTCACGGGAATTTAGGAGTGCGTGTAGTGGGATCCACGGAAGGCGCAAGGATCGTCAATTCATCTACAGCAGATTCCGACCATGGCGAACTTGCCGGGATGATGGCGGTGTCCCTCTGACTTGCATGACTTTTCTTGGAGACTCTTCACAAATTGCTGTTGGCAGCCACTTGGGAGAGCTTAAAATTATTGACTCTAATAGCAACAGCGTCCTGGAGAGTGTTGCAAGCCATAATAATCCAGTGACCCTACTCCAGTCGTATATTTCAGGAGAGACTACTCAACTTATGCTCTCTTCAAGTTGTCAAGATGTCCAGTTGTGGAACATGTCCACTTTTTCAGCAGGACCTCAGCATTCATTTGACGGATGCAAAGCTGCGCGGTTTAGCAATAGTGGAACAACATTTGCGGCGTTGTCGGCAGATTCACATCAGCGTGAGATACTGTTGTATGACGTCCAAACATGCCAGCTGGAATTGAAGCTTACGGACAGTGTCTCTAATGTCACCTCTGGACGGGGACACATGTATTCCCTTGTACATTTTGACCCCTCGAACGATAAACTGCTCTGGAATGGTGTTTTATGGGATCGTCGTGAATCACGCCCGATACATCGGTTTGATGAGTTTACAGACTTTGGAGGTGGGGGGTTTCATCCTTCCAGGAATGAGGTGAGGAACGACTTGTTTGGTTTTCCAACAAGTGTTAGCTAGCATGCGTGCTTCTGGTTTTTTTCCCTTTCTGAAACTTAAATTAGTACTTTTTTTTTAAATAAAATATTTTACTTACAGGTGATTATAAACTCGGAGATTTGGGACCTTCGGAAGTACAGACTGTTGAAGAGTGTTCCGTCCTTGGGTCAAACGGTAATAACGTTTAATGGTAGTGGTGACGTAATATATGCAATACTGAGGAGGAACCTTGAGGACGTGACATCAGCGGTCAACAGTCGGCGGGCAAAACACCCGCTCTTTTCAGCATTCCGTACAGTGGATGCTGTTAACTATGCCGACATTGCCACCGTTCCTGTGGACCGCTGTGTCCTCGACTTGGCAACGGAACCGACTGATTCTTTTCTTGGGTTGGTGACTATGGATGACCATGAAGAGATGTTTTCTTCTGCTAGGGTTTATGAAGTTGGTCGTCGGAGGGTCACAGAGGATGATTCTGATCCCGATGACGCTGATAGTGAGGAGGAGGAGGATGATGATGACGATGACGATGATGATGAGGAAGGAATCATTGAACTTGATGTGGATGGTGAAAGTGAGGATGGTGATGATGGTAGTCTGGGTGGACTTGATGATGATGATGAGGAGGAGGACGACGATGACAATGATGAGGGGTTCCATAGAGACGACGACGACGATGATCTGGACTTTGAGGGTGGGCAAGGAATGTTAGGAGTAGTGTCGGAAGGTTACGAAGACGAGGATGACGATAGTGAACTGGAGTTTTTTGGTAGTGAAGATGAAGGCAACGATTTGTAGTTGTAAGCAGTGAAATGATATTTGCACGCACGGCATTGGCATGGCATGCCTAAATTATGCTGCTGAGCACCAACTTGGCAGCTCTTACCATTTTGTTTTGGTTTTGTTTATGGCTTCTTAGAGAGGGAGGGAGAGAGAAAGAGAACCACAAAATGGTCAAATAGATGTTTGTAAGACGCATCTTGCAATTGGACCATTGTACTATAAGTGCATACATGTGAAACATTAAAGATGAAAACATCATTGTTTTGTTATTTTATCTTCCGGCCCGGTTCCAGTGCCACTGGAATCCGGTGCCACTCCGGTGCCACCGGCATTTTGGGACACCTCCGGTGCTTCGTTCGCAAAATTGACGGTTCCTACCCCCCTAACCCACCCCCTAAACCTCTCCACCCTACCCCCGCCCCCGCACCCCACCCCAACCCCGCCGCAAGCCCCCCACAAAATGTGTGGCTATTATGCAACGCATAATAGCCACACATTTTGTGGGGGGCTTGCGGCGGGGTTGGGGGTGGGGGTGCAGGGGCGGGGGTAGGGTGGGGGGTTTAGGGGTGGGTTAGGGGGGTAGGAACCGTCAATTTTGCGAACGGAGCACCGGAGGTGCCCTAAAATGCCGGTGGCACCGCTAGTGGCACCGGATTCCAGTGGCACTGGAACCCCGCCCTTTATCTTCACCTTCTACATTTGAAATATTTGAGAAAATAACCCACAAAGCTTGAGAATAAAGCACCGTAGATTAAAAGTAAGGAGCACCTAAAGATTAAATACGGAGTATTATTCTACCTAGGCTTGTCAATGGGTTGGGTATAGACCCGAATCTGTATAATATCCGTAAATGTTTAGGGGGTTTAGGAGTATAAAAAATACCATTTTCTCGCACCCGTTATTTTTAAAAAAAAATAATAAGTCAGATATAGCCGTATAGGACGAATAGTCTCGACCCGTTTAAAACTCGTACCTGTTAAATAAATAGATAATATTAAAAATTACTAAACCCTACCCCTCTTCTTTGCAATTCCCCTTCTTTGCTAGCTGCGTGACTTCCAAATTTATTTATATTTATTTTACCACGTTAGAGGCATGCACATGTTGGTTTATACAGTAGTATAAAATAAATACTTTGGAATTAGCTGTAATGTTATAAAAAACATTCTTGCAACATGAATGAATATGACAAGAAGACTGATTATGAATCTTAGATTTTGTTGTAAATTTTTGGTAAAAAGGTTGATTTTTGTTTTATTAACGTATTAGCCTTCGTTTTATTTGTATTCACTTAGAATATTTTTTTATTCATAGTATTTTTCACTGAGATGTCAATTTTTACCATGGGTATACCCGACCTAATACCGAGACCCAATAGGTCCAAATCTAGGATTCAATTTCAAGACCCATCGGGTAAACGGATATGGGTCAGGACCGATTTTTTTAAAAAGGGTACGGGTATAGAACACTAAGGACCGGTCTGAAGCCGACCCATTGACAGGCCTACACAGAGTGGGTAACTAGCATGCCCACCACTCCAAGACACAACCCAAACAAGATATATGTGTTTCATAGACTATTTTTTTCTTCCGTTCTTAAAAATTAGAAAGAAATATGCGTAGCTTTATTGCTATGCATGAACATTGTAAACGGTGTTTAAGGGTTTAAACCCTCGATTAGAGTAGCCAGATGTTGAGAAAGATCTAAATACTGGTGGTAGCACATCCTTCGGCTTTAGATAAACTTTTGGTTGCTTTATTTGCAATAAATATGCTTAGTCTCCCATTTGCAAAACACTGTCTGCTAGATTGTTTTATTGTGGCATGCATACATTGGATTCCAGCTACTAGAAAGATGGATCTCATCAATGTTAAAATTCCCAAAATACTCGGTGCATGGTGGGTGGGTGCTGCCTCATCTGTGATCAAGCTTGGGGTTGTTTGCTGGGCTTGGCGTTGTTGGAGTTGCCGACAGTCTCTACAATGTTGGGGGAGGGCATCGCGCCATCGTCTTCAACCGTATCACTGGTATCAAAGAAAAAGGTGTGTTTCCTGTATCTGCTTGGATCCCGAATGATGGCATGACCATAAAATTGCATAATGATTGGTGATTTTGCCTCACGTACGTGGACCTTGTAGCTCATTTTGTTGGGCATGACAAGGTCTACTTAGCTGATTGTATCTCGAATTTCTGTTTACAAGGTGCATCCTGAAGCAACACACTTTATGATGCCGTGGTTTGAGAGGCCTACCATTTACGATGTCCGTGCAAGCTAGACCCCATATGTCTAGTGGAAAGCACATCTGGAAGTCGTGATCTTCAGATTGGTAATGTGTCTTCTTGCTTTAAATTGTCAAGTCTTTCTTCTATCTGTTTCATTCCCCTTTACAAACTAGTAAATGCTAACTTGAAGTTGGCCCTAAAAAAATTCATCAAAAGTTTCACATTGAGAACTCTCAATGTCTTTAGTCAAAACTCTCAGGTTTCGTTTTGTATACAGAATTTAAATTATGGAGTGCCAAAAATATCGTGTGGAAAAAGTGAAAAAAGCACCAAAAAACAAATTCTGTAAGTCGCGATCTTCAGATGGTAATGTGTCTTCTTGCTTTAAATTGTCAAGCATTTCTTCAATCTGTTTCGATCCCCTTTACAAACTAGTAAATGCTAGCTAGAAGTTAACCCTAAAAAAATTCATCAAAAATTTCACATTGAGAACTCTTAATGTCTTTAGTCAAAACTCTCAGGTTTCGTTTTGTATACAGAATTTAAATTATGGAATTGAAATTGGAGACAACAATTTTAATCCAACGTGCCAAAAAAATCGTGTGGAAAAAGTGAAAAAAGCACCAAAAATCCATTGGTGTAGATTTTCTAAGTATGGAGTTTTCTGCGGGAGTCGGGATGACCACGCCGTTCCTCTCCTTTCTTTTTTGCTTTTTTTCCTTCTCTTTTTTCATTCTTTGCTGCTTTGCTTCTCCATTTTTATTCTTTTATCTGTTTCTTATTTTTTTTATTCTTTTGATTTTATTGTTTTTCTTTTCAGTTTTAAATTTTTAATTTTTTAGCAACTTTTTTTTAATTCCTTCTTTATTTAATTTCTTCTTTATAAAATTAAATACCCATCTGGCCATCTCATCTACATTTCAAGCTTAGTGTTGGAGAATCTCCCATTCTTTGAATGAATAGCCTATTTATAGAGCACTGCTCAATCTTTCCAGAAATTTGTGTACCCATACATTTGGAAATGTGTTTGTCTACTGCTCGAGTCCTATGTCAAAAGTGGAAGCTTTCAAATATTCTACTACCACACACTCATAACATTTCATACTCTGCATTATTGTTATTTTATAACATTTCCTTTAATCAAAACATTTTATGAAGTGTAATCTTTCAACATTTTTTCATTGATGGTGGATGAATTGATGCACACATCCCCTTCAAAACAGAAGTGGCTGTCGCGCTCAAAATGCTGAATTAGCAGTTTATAAAACACTTTTTTTTAAAAAAAGTTAAAATACTTTTATGGAATATGAAAGTTTAGAGTCCGTCGTGGAATATTTGAAAGCTTCGACTTTCAACACATACTTCCCCAAACAGATAGACCCCCCCTGGTTCACATATTCATGAAATATCCAGTAGTACTACGCCATGCAAAATCTCTAACAAAGGAGACTATGAGCCACACAGTGTCGGCACATTTCCAGCATCCATCTTAGAATGAATAGCCTTATAGCAATTGAGACTGCAGAGTGGGAGCTTCGACTTGGAGTCACGATATTTGTTTGGGTTCAAACACAAAGGCCCCGCACATTTCTCACGAGGGGCTGGATAACTGAAATTACACAACAAATCCATAAGATATTTTCATTGATTTTTTCCTCTTTTTAATTGTTTTGTGTTTACATTGGGCGTTTATTTAGTTTTACCTGCAGGGTTTGGATTCAAATATAGGGGGGAACCCCATCTCTATGGGAAATGTCACTACCGTCCCTGTAGGCCTCATGACAATTCTGACAGTTTCTGATGCAAGCACTTGATGTTTAGCAGCCTTCTCCTGCAGAGATAGTTGAATGGGTCGTAAAATTCATCAAGGCAGCAATCAACGCTTCATAACAATATATAATTAATATCACCGATCAATGCACATATAGTACCTGAGCCAACTCTTCTTGGCGCTTCTTTGCTTTGTCTTCTTTCTTTTTTCGATTTGAATCTTGACCTAGTATTTTCCTAATTGCCTCAGCCTAAATTCATTATGATGACAGAAATGGATCACTCAGTCAATATTCTGAATACATGAGAGACTAATGATTAAACAGACATTCAGAGGGGAAAACCTCAGATTCTCGAGCTGCCTTCTCATTTTGCAGTTTACGCCTGTGAGCAGCCTCGGTTTTCTTCAGTTGCTGTTCCACCTCCGTGAGTTTCTCTTTTTGTTCTTTAGCAGCCAGAGCAGATATGATTAAAAAAAAGCATTTAGACAAATACTTTTTTTAATACAAAAACTTCTTTAAAAGTCGCCCTAGAATGCACTGTTAAAAAGAAATAGATAAAAAAACAGCATACTCACTTCGAGATGGAGGTGGGGGCAAACCATTAGGGAACTCAACCTGATTCACACCAACAGATGGCTCCTTGCTTGATAGAAGAGCTCGTTGGCGTGTTGTAAGAGCTAATTCCCTCTTGGATTCCATCACTGTGTGAGGCGGGGATTCCCTTCTTTGTTTCTGTTTCCTTTTTCCTTCACAATCCCCATCAGACAACAAAATTTCCTCCTCTTCATAGTCAGTGTCGTCAGAACCTTTGTCCGGCCTCTTCTTACCATCTTTGGCCAACTTCCCAATCTCTCTGACACTTATAGAAACCTGAGAAAGACTCCGATGTTTATTGGAGTTATCCTCCTCAAAATCCTTGACGCCATAAGCTTTTGATGTTTTTAGCTTTTCCAGATACCTAATCTCATCATCATCTTCATCGTCTTCATCAAATGCCCCATCCAAAACACGCCTCTTTGGGACCCGTTTGCTCTTCCTCACAGAATCTGACTTTTCAGCTGAACTCTTGTTTGACATCTTCCTGATACCCTCCTTGCAAGAATCAATACCCCTGGACAAAGCTTTTGTTGGATAATGGATTTTCGTATCCGAGAGGATTTGACCCTCTCCTGAATTTTCCTGAGATTGAAATAAAATATTCAGATGAATAAAATAAATCTGCAGTCCACTAAAAGGCAAAAAAATGTACTGGCATTTAGTAGTGCAAAATAAATGCAAAAGGTTTAATCAATATACGAAAATATTTCAATTATCTATCTCGTCTTTAGTAAAATGACCCCATATTGGCCTACAACTAAAAAGAAAACAACTGCATATGTGCCTCATTCAAATCATTGAAACGTTTGAGTTTAACTGGAAATTTAATACTAAATTGTATATTCCCTTCGCCACTAGAACTGAAGGAAGCGAAATACAACTTTATGTGACACACAATCTAAATTCCTTCACCTCTTTACAACCTCAAAGTATGTGTTAAGAATGGCATAGACTGGTTTCATAATAAAAATTTACTATTCCATATGAATTACTGTACTTGATAAGGACATTTAAACCTGAAGGGTAAATTTCTGCCGTGGCCGAGGGGCGTCATGAGGTTGAGAACTCTTTGTAGAAGATCCATAGCCATATGTACCATGGGGATTGCTTTTAGCTTGAATAGTACGTGTTACCCCACCGAGCTTCAGCTTAACTTTCTTGAGCTTGTTGTCATTTCCTACACCATTGTGAATCGCTCCCAAATGTCCGGTAGGACTCAGGTGGCGGTAGGTATCTTCTCCCGGTCCACTATTGCTGTAGGGCACTCTAGATTCCATATCATCCTTAACCCTCTTGTTTGGATAGTCAGTTTCAGCTATAGTAGCAGGAGAGCCCCTTGATATACACTGGTTAAGGCTGAACATCTTCCCTCCAGAACTAACATCAGTTTCCTCACTGGAGACCCTTCCGGGCTCATAAGAGACTGGTGTTGATGGATCATAACTTTGAGGAAACACCTGAATCTCAGGCCTGGGCCGCCGAGGAATGCTGCTCCTCCTCTTCCTTATTGTAACACTAGGAACAGGAGCTTCAATAAGAGTGCTACCAGATTCATCCATGAAGTCTTCTTAAGTGAGAAGGTTACAGTTATGCGATGTATTAACTTCCCCCCTATGGCATTGACTTAGACACTCCAAGATGCAACCACCTACAAAACCCTATATAAATCATTATGTAATGGATTCACACCGGAAAGATGAGAAGTGAGGCGGTAAGACTTGAGAGCAATTCTCGCATTGGCCTTCTAAAAGCGCAATTCGGATAATTTCCCATATTGTAAAACAAGTTTTAAGAAGAATCACAAGTTTAAGCACAACAATTCAGCAAGGTAATCCAGACCAAAAGCAATAATAGAATCAATCAAAAAATAAGCTTGGGGCCACAAAAAGGGAAAATGGAAATAAGAAGGGAGCAGCGAATTCAATAGCCGCAGCTCACACAGTAAATCAAAGCAAGAAGTCTATTATTTAGCTCCAGACCTTGGCCTAAACCAGAAAAGGTGAGAAATTCCTCAACATACCCCAGCACATCATTCGATTAGAACGAGCACACAGAACATAAAAAGCTCAAATCATCAACAAAAACGCAAAAAAAAAAAACCAATTGGCAGAATGCAGTGATAAGAAGCAGCGCGACATGTGAAGAACAAAGCACACACCTTTGCAAGATTAACCGATGAACCGAATTGTCAATCAGCAGGGAAGAAACAGAGAACGCGACCGCGAATTAGGAAGGACCCAGAAAAAGAAGAAGGTTGAGCTGAATTGGCGGAGAGAGAGAGAAAGAGAGGTTTGACGCGATAAAGAGAGATGGCGGAGGCGATGATGATGAAGACGAATGAAAGGGTTTAGATTGGGGGAAAAAGTGTCTAGGGTTAGAGCTTGGGCGATGGGTGTGGGGGTCTATAGAAGATGTGGTGGTGGTGGTGGTGAAGGTAAAGAAGACTTTGGAGAATATCTTCACCATTTCTTCTTTTCTTTCTCTCTTCTTTAATTCACCCTCCCCTCCCCTGAAGCTTGTTTGGATCGCAGTTTTAGATGACCCGACTCTCTGAATTCGACTCGCTTCTTCTCTCCGTTCTGTTTTCCCTCCACCGCGGCCTGCAACTCTTTGCTTGCTGGCCCTCCTCCTGCTTACATGAGACTATTATTTTATGTAAAAATTACTAAAGCATAACATTTTTTAAAATGATACTCTCTACTCAAATAATAATTATTTGGAAGAAAATAAATTTCTTGTATTTCTGATGGTTACAATGTAAACAAGGATCATATAAGATCTCATAAGCTTAAAATTCTATATGGAAATAATTATAAAAAAACAAGATTCATCTTGAAGAATTAAAAAAGAATAATTTTATAAACAGTACTACGAGTTTTGTAGCTAATAGTTTTCTATATTTAATCTTCTATCACTAGATTTTATGTAACTTTTTCATATCTAGTCTTCATGTCATCATTTATTTTGAAATTTTTTATGTAGTTATATGTTTTTTTAATTAAAGAGGATTTTTTATTAGATGGAAACCAATAAAAGTACAAGTACAAAAGCTACCCAAAAGTGGTAACAAAGAGAAAAACAAAAAAAATATCAAACTTAAGTCCAGACTACAATGCGATTGTGCGTAGGGATGGCAATTCAACCCGAACCCGAGCTTAACCGACCCGACCGACCACTAAAATATCCGAACCCGAACCGAGAATAAAATAATCCGAACCCGACCCGAAATTTTTTACCCGAACCCGACATCGAGTCGGGTCGGGTGTGGGTTTATTATTTTACCCGACCCGACCCGCACCCGACCCGACTCAAACCCGAATATTTTATAACATAAAAGCCTATCTATAGATATAATGAGCACTCCGTATAATCTCTTGACAAAGTGCTACTATATCAAGTATGCCATTTATAATCATTTTTATAATTCCTTAATAAAAAATGAGACAAAAAAATTAGATTTAATCTTTTTAAAATTATTGGGGTACATTGAATTGATTATTAGTTAAAAGTCGGGTTCGGTTCGGGTTCGGGTTTTGGGTTGGAATGTCGGGTTCGGGTCGGGTCGGGTTTTTGGCTTAAAAAGTCGGGTTTCGGGTCGGGTTTGGGTTTCGGTTTTAAAAGTCGGGTCGGGTTTGGGTATAGTACTATCCGACCCGAACCCGACCCGTTGCCATCCCTTTTGTGCGCAGTTTCAGTTGCCCATTTATAGTTTGGAGGATACTTTGTGGGCAGTGCTATTCTTGATATCATTCCATCTTCTCGGGGTTCGCTTGGACGACCCAAAATCATGCACGGCCCGTGGAAACCCTTGGTGGTGACCATGGCTTGAAGTTGTCCGGTGGAGGGATCCTTAACGTAAGAAAGAACTCCCTCCTCCCGTTTGAGATTGGAATTTCTCGTCAAAGGTTTGGAGACACTTCCAGTTCAATCTTCTTTTCTTTGAATTAGGTCATGTTCTTTTGCATTTGAAGTCTGTTCTGCATCTTCCACATAGGAGTCTTCATTGATTTGTATATCATTCAAAACCTTACTGGGGGGTTGCTCAATTAAGGAGTCAAAGCTGTTAATGTTAGTGGTAATATTATTTGGGTCAGAATTAGTGTCATCATCCCCAATATAGTTTTCTTCCCTAGTGTCATTCGAGCCTACCTGTATGGTAGTTTCGTGTGCAATAGGTGATGAGTGAATAGCAGATTGGGTCTAGACATCTTTAACAGGAGAGTGATCATGAGTTTTTTGTAAGATAGATTCTGTAGGGGCTGAATTGATACCTGTGGTCGTAGCTTTGATCGTATCAGGAAAATACATGTCATTCTGTGTTATATTACCAAAAATAACCGAGGATAAAGATGCATCACCATTTGCTACTATAGTTTTGGGAAAAACAGGGAAGTTAGAACAACCAGTAAGTAGTTTGGGACATGGTCTTTGAGTGCCATCCAAAGACTCCAAGGGGGTCTCGTGTGCTCTCAAAGTTTGATAGATTTCATCATTCAAGAGCAGTGCGATTGACTGCAGTGGCAGTAGATCCTTTCTTAATCAATTTCTCCTCCCTCCTAATCCACCTAGAGAATGTTTATACTGATTTGCAGTTTTTATGGCCAAAAACCCTGCAAGAGGTGCAATAATCAGGAAGGTCCTCATAGTGAATAGGTTGAAGGAATGATGATTGGCCTAGATAAATCCAGACTGCATGTGGTATAGGCTTTGTAAGATCAATTTCAACGCAAACTCTAGCAACAGAAGGTCGAGCAAGATTTAAAGTAGCAGAGTCCAATTGCAGAGGGGAGCCAACCAGTTTAGCAATGGAAAACAAGGCATTTGGCTCAAATAAATGTATAGGGAGGCCTTCTAGGGCTATCCACACAGGTGATAGTGGTGAATCAACAGAAGGGTCGAATTCACAAGTCCATCTACAAACTGTCATTTTGAATCCAGAAATATGCCATACCTTTCTCAAGAGACATCGTAGGAAATCTTTTTCCGTAGAAAAGGAGATCAAAATATGCGAGGAATCAAGGAGGGTTACCTTCGGAGTGGAGGAGAAACCAATCTTCTAAAAGGAAGATCTGACGGAGGACATTGAAGGCCATCCAGAGGTGAAGGAGCCAACAATGGTCCTACTGAATTTGGTGTAGAGCTTCTGGATTTCCCCATCGTTGAATGAAACGCAAGGCAGACCTTTATATCTCGACGGCGTTTCACCAGAGACTAGAGTATCTGAGAAAAAAAGGGGAAGCCATGGAAGTGAGAGAGCCTAAGGATTGAGTAGTGTGAGGTGGTCGACGGCGAAGACATTGTGGCTTCACCGCCGCAAGGAGTCGTTGCCAACCCTAGAGAGAAGGCAGAGCGTAAAAGCCATCTTTTATGTAGTTATATGCATATATGTATATATGTATCTATATATATATATATATATATATATATATATATATATATATATATATATATATATATATATATATATATATATTATCTACAATTAAATAATTTGAATTGAAAACAAAATAATTTGAATTAAAATAAACAATACAAATATGGACGAAAAGAGTAGATAGCCAAGGCTTGGTATTGATCGAGTAAGGCCTTATTCTCTTTGGCTCATATGATTATATAGTAATTGAAGTTATTGATGATCGCGCATAATCTAAATTAATTTGATTCTAATAAAAATAAGTACTCCGTATTAATCTCTGTCTGAATCTCCTCTTACCATTCAACTTATTTTGATCAAAATATATAAACCTTGATCTCGATATGTGAAAAAATATATTGTGTTTCGGTATAAATGTAATGTTAATAATTCTTTTTGAAATATAATTTCAAACTATTAACTTTTTATAAATTTTATCTGTGTATGATCATCAATAATTATAATTAAATGTTGCATTGAAAATCACGAATAGTTATTACTATTACTATTACCATTATTATTATTATTATTACTCATTTCATCATTGTCTTCCGCAGTAGTAGCAGTAGTAGCAGTAGTAGCAGTAGTAGCAGTAGTAGTAGTAGTAGTAGTAGAGGAAAAAAGGAAAATCCCTAGAGTAAATTTTTGGGTATTTAGGATACTCTGGAGTATATTTTAAAATTGATGGGACTTGAAAATTATTTTTACAAAATTGGGAGTACCTAACAATAATATTTGGGAAGAACATGATGAAAAGATAATGGAGAAAATAAATTTGACTGATGAATGAAGGGAATATCTTCCGGAGTTAGTTCTCGGATAGTTAAAGATAACTGGAATAATTTGTTTAAAAATTATGACATATAAATTCTTATAACAAAATAGAGGATACCCGACATCAATTTTTAGTATATATATGTATGTAACTTGTAAGCCCATTATCTAATCAACCCAAAGCCCAAATCCTTAACTAGTTCCTCGAAGTCGAGGAGCAGGAGGCCGTCCAAATTCCAAAATCCCCGATCGGCTTCATCTCAAGTGGCGTCCAGTCGGGCCAGCGGCATGGAATGGTTGTTCTTCACCACTCTAGCATCCAAGATTGGTAATCTGTATGCATATTTAATATTCATTCTTCATTGAGTTCATTCCTAGAGTAAATAAAAATTGAATCTAAGGTTAATTGAATAATTGTTAATTGGTATTTTATTCATTTTTATTCATTCTTCATTTAATTATTTAAGAATATTAAATCTAGGTTTATTCTTAGAGTATCTTAATTCGGTTAATTGTTGATTCTTCATTTAATTACTATTGAGAAGGTATCCCATCAAACTACGTTTAAGAAAAAAAGAGGGTTTTTAATGCTCTGTTTTTTGTCCCTTGCCTGATACAGTGTTGGTGATGTGTAGTCATCGGCCCAAAGTGGCCCACTTGTAGACAACTGAGAGTTAGGAGACCAGATTAGGGTTTCGGCCGGCCCAAATGGTTTTAAGCCCAGTTTGCTATAACTTGTCCAGCAAGGGTTAAACCCTAATTAGTTGTCTATATATACGATCTCCTGTACTTGTAATCATCATCACTCAATAATACAAACCCTAGTTGCCCCTGTGGAT